TCTGAACACACACTGGCCTCTTAACTTCTCAATGCTGCTCTAATACTGTGCCATCCTTTGCTTTTTTTAAAGAGAATGTCCTCATCAGAGAGTTCTCTATGCCAGTGAAATCCCTCTCCACCTAAACATTAGGTATTGGGGATGTTTGTTGTTATTCAGTTGTGTAGGACTCTGCAACCCCATTTGGGGTTTTCTTGGCAAAGATACTAGAGTGGTTTGCCATTTTCTTCTCCAGATCATTTTACAGATGAGGAAATTGAGGCAAACAAGGTTAAGTGACTTGTCCAGGGTCACACAGCTAGTAAGTGTCTGAGGCCAGATTTGAACTCAGGAAGATAAGTGTTCTTGACTTTAGGCCCACCTGCTTTATGCACCATGGCATCCCCTAGCTCCCCTAATCATTAGGTATTGAGTATACAGAGGCACAAAGGAGATTACAACTCAGTGTGGGCGGGGAATACATCAGGTATCTGAGTAACTGCACAGTGTATACAAAGTAATTTCAAAGACAGAGAGAGTACTAATCATTGGGGTGAGTCAGGTAAGGGGAAAGGAGAAGGGAATAAGCATTTGTTAAGCTCTTACTATATGCCAAGCACTCTGCTAAGCACTTTACAAATATCTCATTTGAGTCTCACTACAGCCCTTTAAACAAAGTGCTGTTATCATCCCCATTTAATAGTTGAGGAAACTGAGGCAGAAAGAAATGAAGTGACTTGCCCAGGGTCACACAGTTTGTAAGTATCTGAGGCTAGATTTGAACTCAGGTCTTCCTGACTCCAGCCCCAGCACTCTCCATTGCACCCCTTGGCTATGAGTGTCATTGTTCACAGAGCTCAGACAAAGACCCCACGGGCTCATTGAGCCTTCCCTTTGAGGCACCAAAAAAGGTTTGCATGGTTTGGAGTAGAATTGTGGGAGTTGTAAGAATCCTGGGACTGTAGTTCCAGAGCTGGACGAGGCCCCAGAGACCCCTTAGTCCTCCCTCCTTATTCAATAGATGAGGAAACTGAGGCATCCAGAGGTAAAGTGACCTGCCTGGGGTCACACTTTTGGCAAGTGCCTGAGGCTGGATTTGAACCCGGGTCTTCCTGACTTCCCGTCCAGCTCTCTGTGCCCTACGTCTTGAGGATGAGCCTGGACAGGGAAGTGCTTGTTGCTCCTCCTGCCAATGTTACGAGCGCCCCAGCTCTCAGGGTAGTGCCTGGCACATAGTAAGTGCTTAACCAATGTTTACTGATTGACCAATATCCCGGCAACAGGGATTCCTTCCTACCCAGATCCTTTGAGGATTTTCTCTCCCCTGTGGTTCATTTCCTCTTTCCTTACTCTCATGGCTACAAGGAGACCTGAGAGATGCATTTCATTGTTGTTGTTTTAAAGAATGTTTTTATTTTATTTTTTCTCAATTACACGTAAAAACAATTTTAATATTCATTTAAAATAAATTTTTGAGTTCCAAATTCCCTCCCTTATTTTCTCCCTTCCTCCCTCCTTGAGAAGGCAAGCACTTTGATATAGATTACACATGTGCAGTCATGCAAAACCTATTTCCACATTAGCCATGTTGTAAAAGAAAACATAGACAAAAAAAAAAAAGAAAGAAAAAGGAAAACCAAGAAAAAGAAAGTGAAAATAGTATGCTATGATCTGCACTGAGACATCATCCATTCTTTCCCTGGAGGCGGATAGCATTTTTCATCCTAAGTCCTTCGGAACTCTCTTGGATCATTGCATTGCTGGGACTACTCAAGTCTTTCACAGTTAGAGTCCTTTCCTGTTGGGAGGCTGTGGTGCACCACCATGGACAGAGCCCTGGTTCCACAGTGAGGGGACCTGCATTCAGATCAGCTTTGATGCTCATTACCAATGTAATCTTTAGCGAGTCCCTTGACGACTCTCTTTAACCTCTGCTTCAGTTTACTCATCTATAAAATGAAGGGTTTGGACTATATGACCTTTCAGGATCTGGATCTATGATCCTAGGATCTTTTTTTTTTCCTTTTTTTTTTTTTTTTTTTTTTTTAGGCAATTAGGGTTAAGTGACTTGCCCATGGTCACTCAGCTAGTAGTGTCAGGTGTTTTGTCTGAGACCGGATTTGAACTCAGGTCCTCCTGACATCAGGGTCGGTGCTCTATCCACTGTGCCACCAGCTGCCCCCTTATGATCCTAGGATCTTACAGAGGAAGAAATTAAGTCATAGAGAGGCAAGGTGACTAGACTATAATCGTACAGGGAAAAAGTGTCAGAGCCAAGATTCAAACACTGTTCTAGCTCCAAGTCAGTCAGTCAGCTAGCATTAATATAGCACCTACTATGTGCCAGGCACTGTTTTAGACACTATGTAAATATTATCTCATTTGATTCTCACAACAACTGGGGGATTTATTATTATCACTCTATTTTACAATTGAGGAAATCAAGGCAGCGGTTAAATGACTTGCTCAGGGTCACAAAACCATCTGATTTGAACTCAGGTGCTTCTGACTCAAGGTACAGCACTCTATTCATTAAGCTACCTACTTCCAGGGACTGTTGTGTTTTTGTCTTTATACCTCTTGTGCCTAGCACAGTGCTTGACCTAAAATAAGTGATTATAAATGATTGTGGAAACGAATTGAGGCAGTGTGAGATTTTATGTGTCAGTCCAAGAGTTTGACTCTTCTCCTTTGCCTTTTGAGTCTGAAAATACTGAGGGCCTACCCACTCTCTCAATATGGTCTGGGGATATATTTGTGGAGACATTAGGGATAGAAGAGTTGGTGAAGGCATTGTGATTTCATATAACACTAGGAGCAGTGGGTTGCCCTTCTTTCTGGAGTCTTAACACTGTATTTTTTTTTCTCAGTTTCATTAAAAATAATCTAATTTATAATCTATAATGTGAATTTTCAGGGCACAAAATTGGGAAAGAGATTAGAATCCAAATGGGATGGGGGCAAAATGCACCAAATAAATGATTTACAAGGAAATATACTCTTGAACTTTTCATAAAGCTAATATGTGGTTTCATTCAACATCATACATTAGGCAGAAGTGATTTATCTCATTAATGCCCCCAGCTATTAGTCTCTCCTTCTTGAAATGACTTTGCATTTACTTGTATGGGTATGTGATACATTCCTCTTCCTATTAACCTTCCTCCTCACTCCAGTAGAATGTAAGCTCCCTGAGAGCAAGGACTGTTTTTGTTTTGTCATATCCTCAGAATTTAGCACATAGTAGGTATTTAATTCAATTGAATTACCTAGGATTCTATGAACAACACCTCTGTATAAGTATTGTTGCTCCATCCTTTCAGTCAAATTCAGTCAGGGCCCGCACATCTGGTTTGATTTAAAACTTCACCCTCCTCTGCTCCCTTTGAGGCCATGACTCAAGTGAAAGGAGTCCATTCTGCCCAGCCCCCACTGAAGATGGCTTAGATGCAGTGGGAGACCTTGGCCTTTTTAAGCTAATGTCTTTAACAAGTCTTAGTTTGACTGAGGCAACACCCATTTAGTGATTAAGGCTAGTTAAGAAATGAGGCAGAAAATGACCCCTTTCACCTAGATAATAATAAAAAAAAAAAGATCAATCTGGGATGGAATGCAAAGGCCAAGCACCAAGGCCCTCACAGGGTCTCATAGCCTGAGGGGAAAGTGAGAATAGATTCTAAGGTATCTCCATTTAAGGAGAGGATGTTTTCTCCTCTATACTAAGAGCAGAGGAGTCAACTAGATCCCCCAGAAGCACTGAGATGAAGAAGGTGGGCTGAAGCTAACTCAAACCTTTTTAAAGCCTCTGCAGCCAATCAAAGAGCTTCCCATTCACCATGTGGCTAGCCACCCAAAATAGTTACAGAATGTCTACTAATTAATTCACCTCAGTCATCACCACTCTCCCTGAAGCTGGCCCCTCAGAATCTCCAAATGGAGAGATGGCAACAGAGCATACTGGGCTTGTGTTAGAGCCTGTTATAGTGTACCATTTACACCATACTTAGGGGCAGCTAGGTGGCTCAGTGGATAGATCACCAGGACTGGAGTCAGGAAGATCTGAGTTCAAATCTGGCCTCGGATACTTATCAGCTGTGTGACCCTGGGCAAGTCACATAACTCTGTTTGCCTCAGCTTCCTTATCTGTAAGATGAGCTGGAGAAGGGAATGGCAAACCACTATAGTACCTTGGCCAAGAAAGCCCCAAATGAGGTCATAAAGAGTCAGACATGTCTGAAAATGACTAAACAACAACAAAACACTGTACATACCTTGTATGTTCCAAGTTATTTTCATGTTGTCTCCCTCATAAGAATATGAGCTCCTCTGAAGGTAAGGACCGTATTTTTTGCTTTTCTTTGTATCCTTGCACTTAGCACATACAAACAACAACTAGCATCTTTATAGCACTTGAAGATTTGCCAAGTACTTTACTTATTTTTAACTTATTTGACTACTGTAAGTTCTTAGATTTTTGATGACTTCAGAAGTGCCTTCTAAACTATTTACTGTAACAGATTAAGCTGGTGAGGGTGGCATGTCCCTTCCCCCTTAACCTTGAGTTGAAAATATTCCTCACCAAATACAAAGTGGTCCCTTGTGGTCTCCTAACTTTCCACAAGAGTTTAGGTTTCCATGGTGATGCATCAGGTTGCTGGAGCAGAAACACAGGTGATGGAGAAGCAGCTTTTAATTAGATAGTAACTGGTTAGAAGCTTTATGTCTAGAAAATTGACCATTCTTTCCTTGAACATCTTTAAAAATGTCTAATTGGAATGGGCCTATGGCATGACAAGGGCCAGGCAGGAAGTTCTTAATTCTCAAGGAGATCCAGAAACCCCAAATAGTAGGAGGTCAACGGAACTGGGTGAGGCAACAACTTCTTCTGATGGCTGCTGTGAAGACTGCGGCTGATGGCTTCCTCAGGGACCGCACTTCCGGTTTGATCTGAAACTTCACCCTCCTCTGCTCCCTCTGAGGCCATGACTCAAGTGAAAGGAGTCCATTCTGCCCAGCCCCCGGCCTCATGCAGCCGTTCAACGTCCCCATTCAGATCACTCTGCAGGACAGCCGGAGGCGCCAGGGAAGGTAAGTGACACTAGATTGTCTCCAGCCGCTGTCCAACAATGAACTGAACAAGGGCTGAGAACGAGAGGAACAGCTCACTGTAGTAACTCCAGTTCTTGGAACTGAAGGATGTTAATCAGCTTTCCTATGTGAGGAAGGAGGAGAGGAACATCCTCCTGGCGGCATTCCACTTGTGGGGGCAAGTGGGACTTCAGAACCTAGGACTTCAGAAGTTATTTTGAACTTACTTGGGGTAATTTCTGCAATTCTTTCTCTATGTAGAACTTGTTTTTCCTTCAGTGAATGTTTTTCCCACAGTAAAGATCCTTGAGGGCAGAGACTATTTCATTTTGCCTTTTATCTCTAGTACTTAGAACACAGTAGGTTTTACTAAATGTGTATTGATCAACTTTTACATATAATATGTATTTGTATTTATTTATCCATGTATATGTTATTTCCCCCCAGGAATGTAAGATTCCTGAGGGCAGGGACTATTCTATCATTGTCTCTGCATCCCCAGCACCTAGCACTGAGTCTGGCAAATAGCAGGTACTTAAAATGTTTGTTGAATTCGACTAAACCAAAGCTTCTTTTGCCTTGTGCTGAAAACCTTGAGACATATTCTGTCCTGGCGCTTTATACTCTCTTGGCCAATAATGGGGCTCACTGGAAAGGAGAGGAAGAACAAGGAGGTGGCAACAAAGGCAGATGTTGGGCAGGGCATTAAATGGATACAAGCTTAGCTCCTAAGATGTAACCTTCTAATACTCAGATCATCTGAGAGAGAACATAAGATCTGCCCATCGTATCAGTACGTCAAGACCAAAGATAGAACTAGGAGTCTGATAACATATTGCAAGAACACTGGATTTGAAGATAGAACATCTAGGTTCAAATCCCAGCTCCGCCATTTACAAACTATATGACACTAGGCAAGTTATAACCTTTCCGCGCTTCATGAATTTTTGGTATAAAATGAGAGGATTATAATGGGTAATGTCTCATAAACAATATTACTTAGATACACTAAGACTGACAAAACACTTTACATACATCAATTCATTTGATTCTTACAACAGTCTTGTGAGGTATGTAATATACATACTATTATCCTCATTTTACAGATGAGGAAACTGAAGCTCAGAAAGATTCAGTGATTTGCCCAGGATTATACAGCTTGGAAGTGCTGGAGGCAAAAGGACTCTTCCACTCTTGTGACCAACAGAGAGAAAGTAATGATTAAGATTCTAAAGCTCTTAGTTACTTCCTCAATATCATTTACTTTATCCTTTCAATATAGATAGATATATAAGAGACTGGGAAAGATAAAAAGAGGGCCCAGTCAAGGGGGAGGAGGGTGTGAGGCAGAGAAAAATTGGGGGAAATGATAGAGGAAGCAGGAGGCAGAGGCAGGATAGGGGAAGGAGTAAAAACAAATCCTGGAAAACAACATTTCTGGAAAATAAGTGACCCTTACTGCTATGTGGCAGAGAGAACATTATTACACTTTGACATTAGAAGTTAAAAAAAAAACGGACAGGGAAATAAGCCCTGTTGTTCTACCCCCAACTCTGATGGATGCTCACAATATGATTAGTTGTAAGCTTGCCCCCAAAGCAAATGCTCTCTTAGTTTCACTCCCAAAATGACTAATTAACCCACAACATAGTTTTCCCATTCAATTTGATGAATTGTACTGCTCTTTCCAAAGACAGAGTTTGTTTAATAATTTCTTTTTAAACTAAGAAAATAGACGTACAGAAATGATGACTAGGGAAAGTCTCTGATGGCTTATGAACAATTAAAAAGGAAATGTTATTAATTCAGTAGACCAACTGTTCAGAAGTCTTCCAATCCCACAGGGAGCCCAATGAAGAAATGGTCACATTTTGGGGGAACCCTGAATCTTTGTAAGACAAGTCAATAAAGAAAGTTAAGTCAACAAATGTTTATTAACTCTATGCCCATCACTGTGCTAAGCACTGAGAATATGAGTACAATAAGAAAGACAGTTCCTACCCTCAAGGAGCTTACATTCTAATGCAGAAAGACAACATAAAAAGAAGCTGAAAAGGGGAGAGAGAAAGTGTGGAAAAATTGAGTCCAGAGAGGACTCTTCAAGACATGGGTGACCTGGGCACTTTCTTTAAAATAAAGGTTCTGGGAGGAATCTCAGCCAATCAAAAGAAAGGGCCAGAGGGACCGAGTGAACTTTCAGGATAAGAAGGCTGCTGTGGCTTGGTAGGGAAAATCCAGTCAGGCGCAGAGCTCTGAGAGGGAAAAAGACAGAGACAGCTATTATTCTTGTTCTTATTCTGCCTAATAATAACAAGCTCCAGGGTCGTAGGAGAGGCCATGTGCGCCTTGAAGGACCCAGTTAAGATAAGGAAGTTAGACGACATTGCTAAAGTTCTCAGACACTCACCTTACTTGTATTAAATCCATAACTTGTCAGGTCTGTTATAATGGAGATTCTTTTGGGGTGTGGTTTAGACTAGATGACCACTGAGGCCACTTCCTACTCTCGGATTTTGTGTTTCTGTGAAATCAGAAGACATCTGGCTGGGAATGTCCCAGTAGCAGTCTGGGACTCAGGTCTGGATTGGACAATCCAATCCAGTTTGCTTCTTTGTTCTGGAATCCCTTGTCCGTATGCTTCCCTATATTCCTGATAGATTCTCCTTGAGAGGCAGTGTGCTGTGATGGAAAGAGTGGTGGATTGGAGTCATGGGACCTGAGTTCAAACCCCAGTTCTCCACCTCCCATCTGCATGACCTTTGGCAAGTGACTTACCTTTCATTTCCTTATCCGTAAAATGAGGTGGTCTGACTCAATGACCTCTTAGGTCTCTTCCAACTCTAGATTTATAGTCCTATGATGATAGAGGTGGCAAGTTCCAATTCTTCAGGTAAGCAGAGATGTAACCTACTGGGGCAAGCAGAGCTTTGACCCAGGATGGCGACTAGGGGTGGTGGTGAAGGCAACCTCTTCCTTCTCCTTATTGTCAGCTTGGGCATTGTGGGGCCAGTGGAGGACCACATAGCATGGAGGACTGCCATGAGAAGAAACCACTTTGTCCCTCTTCCCTTGTCAGCACTTGGGATGTGAAATATTCCCTTCCATCTCATCTGGCCTGAGTTTAACCTCCTCCCTTAGGTGTCCTGTTACCATCCCTTCCCTCTCTATGAACCTGCCTTTCCTAACTAGGGTTAGATCAGTGGCAACGGTGACATAAGCTGGTCTTGAAGTGTATCCCATCTTCCTCTCCCCCTTGATTTGCCCTAGTTTCCACCAGAATTCCCAGTTACATCTCCATAAGTAAAAGTGGGGAAGCTAGGAGAGACTTGAAGACAACCTATTCTTCAAAGGTTTTGTCAATCGATCAATTAAGAAGCATTTATTAAGTACCTATAATGTGTTAGACATCGGGGATAGAAAGATGAAAGAAAAATAGTTCCTGTCCTCCAGGAATTACAATCTATCCAGGGCAGACAACATGTCCATATATGGGTATGTACAAACTAGATACAGAGTGGTTGGGAAGGTACTAGAAGATGAGGAAAGGAATCTGCCAAAAGGACTTAAAAATATTCTTCTCCTATCTCACTCCATTGCTTCCAGAGATCAAGTGATCATCTTTACGTAATGGTTTCACTGGGGCTCCCCTTTGGCATTTAAAATTTGCTTTGCAGTTTTCTAATGAGAGGTAGTTACAAAACACCAAATGTTATTAACTCTCTCCTTGAAGAGTCGAGGGACTTGAGATCTGACCATTCCTCAAAAGGCCTTTAGGTGAGCATTTTAGACAGGGGAACATGGTATAATATCTTCCCAGCTGATGTTATTAAGTCATGCTGGTGCCAGGATATACCATGATAAAATGCTAAGAATCCCAGCAGGACCTTATTAGGAGATAATTCCTTCCATAATGCACCATGGATCCTTAAGAACACCCACTGGAAGGTCTTGGCATAATTCTGGAGTTGTCCACAGTACCAGAAGTCACCTTTTGAGCATGTAATGTCTTGACAAAAGGTTCCAGCATTTGAAATCAAATGACTTGTTCAGGGTCATCTAGTTAGTCAGCTTCAGATCTGGGACTAAACCCAGGGCTTCAGGCTGGCCTCCTCCCAGTTACTCTCTTCTCAGATCTGTTCATACAGTATAAATTTTTGAATTTTGTTTTCTTCTACTCTCTCTGCCCATTCTGCCCAGGTGGGAGTAAGAAGGAAAAATAAGGGACCTTTGAGATCTCAAAACTAGCTCACTGGTCTATGATAAATAGATTGCCATGGATCCTGCCAACTTGTGAATCAGGGCTTTCTTAGGTGGACTCTTGGGGCTTTCGTGGGGTTGCCTGTGTTCCCTGAGGTAGTCTCTACAGCCGGAAGATCTTGCCAAGGGAAGAAGGGAGAGCATACTAGAGGGAATATACTAGAGGAAAAAGTGAAAGTGAAGTTGTTGTGGGGCACATTAGGGAGGAACCTGAAATTTGTTCTCTGTAAATATTTTATCCTAAGACTTTTTGTTGAGCTCCAGGAGCAGGGGTTCCAGAAAGCATAGGAAGGATATACTTACATGGCATGTGATGTTGTTAAAGGGCACTCGTGAGTGAGCACTGGAGACGGAGAGGGTCTGGGTTCACATCCCGCTTCTGATGCTTCCTATCTGTGTGACCTTAAGCAAGTCACATCACTTTTATGTCTCTGTTCTTCATCTGTAAAACAGAAGGGGTTGGACTAGATGACCTCTGAAGTCATTTTTAACTACAGTTCTATGATGCCAGCGGTAGCATGTCACAGTAGGAAGATCACTGACTTGAGTCAAAGGGTCTGGGTTCAAATCCTACCACTTGCTACCTGGATGATCTTGGATCACTCAGCCTTGGTTAAAATGAGGGGGTTGGCTTATATGGCCCCTCAGGTCTGGACCTTCCAGCTCTAAAGCTATGATCCTATGAACTTCAGAAGCACTGGGAAGACTACTTAGTCATCCCTACTTCCCTCTGTCTGCTGACCCTTGAATATCACTGTGATGCACTAATAGCTCTCATAAACCCTAGATTTCCTCCCAAATCTGGATTTCTTTTTTCTTTAATTTATTTTATTTTTAATTTATGGAATAAAACAAGCATTTCCATAACATAGTATAATAAAAAAGAATTGCACATGAAAATTGCAAATCTACTATGTACAACTTGCTATTCCTTTTAAATGTACAACAAAATTATCATGTAAATTTCTTTTTTTCTCTCCCCCCCATTCTAGAGATGGCCACCATTAGACACAAATAGGTGTCTGTGTATGTGAAATTATTCTATACATACTTCTATTTATTAGTTCTTTCTCTGGATGCAGATAGCATTTTCCTTCATATGCGCTTTATAATTAATTTGGGTGCTTATAATGGCCAAAATAACTTATTCATTCAAAGTCATTCTTTTTTTTCTTTTTTCTTCCTTTTTTTTTTTTTGGTAAGGCAATTGGGGTTAAGTGACTTGCCCAGAATCACACGGCTAGTGAGTGGTATGTGTCTGAGGCCGGATTTGAACTCAGGGCCTCCTGACTCCAGGACTGGTGCTCTATTCACTGCACCCTCTAGCTGCCCCTCAAAGTCATTCTTAGAGCAATGTTGCTGTTACTTTATACAATGTTCTTTTAGTTCTGCTCATTTTTGCTCTTTGTTATTTCGTGCAAGTCTTTCCATGTTTTTCTAAAATCATTTCTTATAGCACAGTAGTATTCCATCACAATCATATACCACAACTTGTTCAGCCATTTCCCCAATTTATGGGCATCCCTGCAGTTTCCAGCTCTTTGCTACCACAAAAAGAGCTGTTATAAACATTTTAGGACAGATAGATTCTTTTCCTTTTTCCCTAGTCATCTTTGGAAATAGACCTAGAAGCGGCATTGCTGGGTCAAATGGTATAGGTAGTTTAATAACTCTTTGGGTATTATTCCAGATTGCTCTCCAAAATGGTTGGATCAGTTCATAATTCAACCAACAATGAATTAGTGAATTTCGAGAAAGGAAAGTCCTTTTTAAAATGAATTTGTAAAAGGTATTTCCTTTGTTTGTCATGTGCACTGATTTGGAATTAGATAGAAAAATTGACCAGTGTAGTTGTTATGGGAAATTTTCGATTCTTGATTTCCCTTTATTAATTTTTACTATGTAGGCCTCAGGGCCATTCCTTCTGCAACTTTTGGTTAACTAAAAGCTTGTCTGCTGTAATATTAATCTCACCTGGCCAAAATCTGACTTCTGCAATAATAGTGTTAAGGGAAGACTGTTTGACATTCTTTTGATAAAAAACGAAGGGGATTTTGACCTCCCCAAAGTGGTTTAGTTGTTAGCTCCCCTAGCTAATTGTGTAAGGAAGGATTTCCCTCACACCAGTTTTCCTGTTTGTATTGGTGACATAAATCGGCCAGTTGTGTGTGAATCTTCTAAAAGTAGTTGAATCTGTAACCTGATTTAGTTTATCAATGGAGTCTTTTTAACTAGGTTTGTTTCTCTAGGGGATGTATGAGATTATGATTTTACTTAACTAAGTTTGTTCAAATTTTATGACATTGAAGGAAGCTTAGGATTATGAATCTGTCTTACCTTTAACTTTTATGGTCTAGAGTAATGTACAAGATTGCAAAAGAATTATTTCTTT